AGCCACCATTCTATTTCTGGGGAATTGCGTCTAATGAGCAGCGAATGGCAGGATAATGGCAGGTCCAGCTCCGCTGTCCTGCCTTGGCATAATTTGGTTATTTTATGCAAGTTTTTTGCTTGTCCCCCTCGCCGGCTGAACTGTTTGCTCGAACCACAGAAACCGCCGACACTCATTAGACGGCGCCCCTGGGGCTTCAACGGGGGTCGAATGTTATGGTAATTGGTGTGGATGAAGGGGGAGGCCATGGGGGATGGGTATCATTATGCCAATGCGTATACAGTTTCACTGGCCTCGCTTTTTTCGCTTGGAATTTGCAGAGGGCCCTGCAAAGTAGGCAACCTTATTTTGCACTCGAGGTATATTAAGTATACGCCGCGTTTACAATTTGAGAATTTAAAATGCACTGAAGAGTATTTCTAAATACTCAACATATATTTTACAAAGCATTTTCAATTGTTATTGCAATATTTCAATAGTGAAGTGGAACAATTTCAGTATGGATTTGCAGCCTAACATGAGAGTAGAGTGAAACACTTCTGATTAAATTTAGATAGCTGCCCCTAGCAACTTTCCAGCGAAGCTATCTGCTTTAATTAAATAAATTGCTCCGGTCATCCGGGACCTTTGAAGTAGCCTAATCCGCCACTCAAGTAGCACACCTAATCCGGCCAATGCAATTGCCTGCTGGGGGAATGCACTTCCATTACCATTTCTTCGTCCTTCAAGTGCTGCCCCTTTTAGATGAGCTCGTCGGCCATCTGGCACAACAACATGCCAGGGAACTTTGGGGCCAGATCCCAGATCCCGGATCCCTGGTAGCTGCACTCCATTCCACTCGGCTGCAGTTGGCTTGGCAGCCTTTCCAATCCATTTCGTCGTTGTCCATGACCATTAAGCAGTCAAGATTTGTTGTCAAGCATTTTGATGGCGTCATGATTGATAGACAGCTGGGCAGGAAGGGAAACTTGATGGGGACAGGGATGTGGGCAGTGCAATGTTGCTGCTGGGCATAACATTTGTGGCATGATTTCATGATTATAGACTAGACTTGGCGCTTGAACGAGTCCAACGAGTCGACGACGAGTCTATTTGCGGGCCAAAACTTGATTACGCCGACCAGTAAGCAGACATCCTTCGAAGGCACTGAGCAAATCTTTGAAAAGTAAGCTCATCAATTTATGATAAATGCTTTTATTTTTTCAAATATTATCATATCATATTAGCTTAACGCTTTAATTGATAAAAATCAGTTCTTAAGGAGTACTTTTGTACTTTTTCATAGCTTGATTTCATCGCTTTATTCTGAGTTAATATAAAGTGTGTTATTTGGCAACGTGCTGGGTTTATTTCTCCGTGTTTTGGCACTTGGCAACGGCTGCACTTTCGATTCCGATGGCCAAAACCACAAACAGGCAGGGCGAAATCAAAAGGGCGCAGGGGGCGGAGGGCAGAGGGCAGACAGGCAGCAGCTGCGACACGTTGCGCATTGTGATCTGGCCAAAAAAGGGGTGACTTGGCTTTGGCCAAGGATGAAGATGGTGATTGAGCCGACGAAAGTTGGAGGCGGAGTGGCCTGGGCACTGCGGACATTCGAGAGGAGAAATGCGAAATGCAGCCCCGAAGGCACGCGGCGAGAAATGGAAACCGGAAATGTTGTTACCTCCCAGGAGAAAGGGCCATTGGGCATCGCATACCGGAAATGGGTGCAAATGCGACGAATCGTTATTTTCGAGGAATTTGCGTGTGTGCGTGTGTGTGTGTGTACTGTGTTGTGTCTGATTTGCAACGCCGCAGGGAATCGAGCGAAACGCCTTTGGAGTGGGTCTAGAGATTCGGGTGGAGGTCAGAGTTGACTTAAATCGGTGGCAGGAGGTGCGAACATTCGGTGCCATGTGCTGCCCGATGCACAATAATTTACATGCAATTAAATGCAAAATAAATGCAAAGAGATAAATGATTACAGCTGCGCTTTGCAGAGGACACCATGTATTGCAAATAGAAAGTGAGATTGGTTAGGGAATTGAGGAAAAAAAATGGATTTGATTTAATTGATGATGTAAGCAACATAATGTTGCAGATTTAACTTAAATCGGTTATGCAACTATTGAACTGGGAATTAATTCGAATAGAAATTACATAACAACGAACCTTCAATGCTTCAAAGTTTTTGTACTTACGTAAAATGTGCTTAATTAAATTTAATTGCCGTGTGTAGGAGTTCCCCTAGTCAAACAAAATTGATATTCAACTTGTAATGCGGACAGCCGCACTTAATGGTCAATAAAAACGTTTAAATTTACGGCATTTTCTGGCCCAAACCACAGGACACTCACATACATCCTTGTGTAATTGAAAATCCAGTGGCTGCAAACACGGAAATGAAACTGTTAACTGTCTTTTGCGGTTGGCGAGCAGAACAAATCGAAATCCAAACCAACCCGAACCAAACCGCATCCATCAGTCTGTTGGCGCGTGGAAAAGTGCAAGTGAAATGCAATTTGAAGCCTAACGATGCATCCAGCAGATGTATGCAGACCAAAAATAATCACTCCCTTTCCTTAGATCCTTTGGGAATAACACTTGGACAAAACAGCGGCGCCTTTAAATTGCCCCATTTAATTTTTAAAAATATTTTCGTTCTACTAAGAGTTGGCAAGTCTAACTAGAAGTATTAGCAAACATTTTTTTAAGGACTGCATTGTATTTTTGAGACTATGCACTTGCAGTTGCCCATTTCGCCAACACTTTGCGGCCACATTTTTTTTGTGAGTCAATGAACTGGAGTGTGCATTTCTAGGCCTTCCTTGTTGCGCCAGACGATGGCTAAAAGCCTGCAAAAGCCATGGCCAGCTTGCGAAATGTAAATGTTGTTGGAAATGGGAAATGCGAGTGCAGTGAGGAAATGGAAATGCAAATGGAAATGGCTGACGAAGAGCCATTGTGGCAGGTGCACAACACAGTGGTATGCATATATGTACAACTACTTACGAGCACATCCACCTGTCTGGCTTGGACACCTTCAACTAATGCAGCCACTGTATACTATACATAAGTATCTACATACTGGCATGCGTTTATATTCAACGTATCACTTAACATTTTCATACGGGCATAGATAGTATGTATAACTGATCTGTCGTCAATTGCAAATGCCGTTACGCCCTTTTATTGTTCGCCACCCAAATGAAATTTGTCAATTCAAGCCAATAAAATGCAGGCGCTGCTGAGACACGCACGACAGTACAGTGCGGTATGAAAGTGTGTAGCCATGCTTGAACACAAAATGTAGCTCACAAACTGTGAAGTTTCACAGCTTGATACTGAAAAGTTGAACCCATTTCTTAAGCCTTGTAGTTAGAATGCCTTTTGTTTTTCATTTCCAAAGTTCTTAAAACGCTGAAACGCACTGTATTCATCTTTTACAGCCCGCATCCTTGGCAACCTTTGTGCATTATCTGCCGAATCTCCTTGCATTGGCTTTCCGTTTTCCTTGCCGTCTTGGGTTTTTATTAAATTCTCCTTTTGTCCACTTTTGGTTGGCTTTCAGCCTGTTAAGGAACTTTTACGCTCGTTTGGGTCGTCTGTGTTTCCTATAAATTGCATTTCCTTGATGGTCAAGCTCGATGGCCACGCCCCCTTGCTTGACCGCCGTATTAAATCATTTCCTTCTCTTGGGTAAACGGCATCAATAGCTGAAAAGTATGCTTTAAAATGATGCAACCTCACCCCAAACGAAGGAAAACCACCCGATTCATGGGGATTTCATCGTCTTCCTTCAACTGCTTATTGAAAAATTGTGCGCAACTCGCACAGAAATCATAAACAACGCCACAGGGTGCACAAATCCCACCCAAAAAATACCCCAACCCCCCCACGCAGTTGGCATTTATTGAAATCAGGAGAAGAAAAATTATATAACTATATACATATATAGAGTATGCGTCGGTGTGCGTGCACATATATAATTGCATGCTTTTAGGGTTGCTGCGCTGAAATTGAAAAGCAAATACAACAATGCGACAACAAAGCGAAGAAGACAGGCGGGGAGAATCTGTAAATCGCAGAAAGTGAATCTTTGTAGACTGAGGAAAAACACTTAAGAACACCCAACCTTCTCGAATTTGCTGTCGCTTTTTAATTCCTCTTGAATTTCTGGTAGTCAGGTGGTGGCGCTCAGAGCTTTACAGAATTGATTGGAGAAAGATTATGAATGGGAGTCATAATAAAATGGCTTTTGAAAGAATTATAAAAAGGGAGCAATTCGAAATCGCAGGCTAGCGAAAGTGCTGTGTGCGTATATAGTGAATATAATATAATAATATAATGTTTTTGATTTAGACTGACTGACTTTTTGTTCTATAACGAAGAGTTCTCTTTAGACTTCGGTTCTATCGAGTGGCTGGCTGGCCTTAAGTTAAACGCTCATTATGAAAGTTTCCAATGGCGATTAGCAGCGCAGAGTTTTGGCCCTGGTGTTGGCTATACTTGACCAGGTTTTTGGCGACTGAAGAGGCATTGCCCATTTCCCATTCAACGCGATTTGTCGCAGCGTCTGCAAAGTTTTGCCGACAACACGAAGTGGCAAGGCAGGGGAAAATAAGAACCAGAGGAGGAAAAGCATTGTTGCAAGAATGGAAAGAAAGCCGAAAGCAGAAAGCGGAGTGGAGTAGGGACGATTTATCATCCATAAGTGGGAATTCATGGGCGAATTGTGAACGCAACATTTAACGCGCAGTCACAGGAAAAAGACTCACTTAAGGACTTAAAAGATATGGCAAGATAACTCTGAACATTTTTGATCTATAGCTTGTGGGTTGGCTGTGAAATCTTAGGTTGATATATGTGCTTTTCGGCAACGAGCAACCAAAGTTTGACTTAAAATGGAAACCATGAGTACCAAGAAACATGGCCGACTGCTTTTAAAATGTTTCAAGTCAATAGAAACCTTGAACCTTTTAAACTCGTTGCTAATCTGTACATTTGATTCTTAATTGCAGACCTTCATAGTGCGCGGTTCCAGCCAGCCGAATACAATGGCCGTTTCGGTGAGGTTGCCCCAGGATACGGGACCCTATATCGAGCACTATCTCATCCAGTCGCACGATAATGTCCTGAGCCTGGAGAGCTCGAGGTTTACCTTCGGATCGATACCCTTGCTGATTGCCCACTATGCCCAATGCTGCGATGAGTTGCCGGTGCAGTTGATGTTGCCACGTGTCCTGCGGGAGGCGAACAACCGAAAGAAGCTGAGTTCGCTGGCCCTTTTGGGTCAGGAGTTCTGGAGCTATGTGAGCAGTCCGGCTCTGCTTGGTCCGTCGACGCCATCGGTGGCTCCGTCAAAGGATCAGCACTTGCTGGATGCCAAATCGCCGCTCTCACTAACGGAAACCAGTGGTCTGGGCACTGCCACCTTCTTCAGCGATGCAATGTCCAAGCCACCGCCCACTGGAGCACCGCCACTGCCGGGTGGTGGTCTCTTCAGTCCCACCGGAAGTGGTCAGTTGCTGGGCTTCTTCAGCCAGGCGGGCACTCCATCCGATACGACAAACTCGAGCCTCAGCTCCTTCACCACCAGCGGAGGTCAGCACATGCAGCTGCTGAGCCCAAATTCTGTGGATTCGGTGATACTCACCATGTCGCCAGTGGACAATCCTGGGCACTATTTGCCCGGTTCGACAGGTGCTCCCTTGTTACCTGTATGCCCATCGGTGGTTGACCAACAGCTGAGCACCTTTAAAGCAGCCCAAGCGGCGCCGGAAGTGGATCAAGTGCGTCCGCAGCGACCGAAGCCACCGAATACACTGAACCTCAAGCCGCCCGCACCACCGTTGCGCTGGTCGAAGCCCCATTCCCCGGATCAGAATGGAAGTGCCAATGGCAATTTTACGGTTACCACCACGGTTACCTTCTCGATGGAGAACGGAGGTGGCGGTGGCGGCGGCGGCGGCGGCGGCAGTGGACCCATGGCTGCTAATGGTAATGGTAATGGAAAATTCGTGGAGGTTACTACGCCGGCGGCCAGTAATCCCTTTAACGCCCTGCTCAACGGTCAGGCCAGCACTTTTCAGACATTCGCTAAGCGACTGTCGCCGGAGGGCGAGTGCAAGGACACGATGTCCTCGCAGGGATCCTCCTCCAACGACGGGCGCTGGCCGCCGCCGGCCCGCAAGCTGCTAGCCTCACCCCTGACCCCGCTGACGCCCAGTGGCGGTAGCAGCAGCAGCGGCGGCAAGTCCCGCAAGTCGCGAGCGGGCAAGGAGTCGCAGCACTACAAGGAGTCGGACATCCTCGAGAGCCCGCCGATGCAGTACTGCGCCAGCGCGCTAAGCGACAAGATCAGCGATTACGAGGACGTCTGGTCGCACGATCCCAGCGATCGGGCCAGCCTGCTGACCAGTTTCCGGCCGGCATTGGACACGGTGGGCGGCGTGATGAACCGACGGCCAGATCTGCTGGCCGAGACCCGTAAGTTGTTGTACCCTTCGAGTGTTCGAGTGTTCTCCTATCTAAATATCTCCTCCTTTCAGCGAGCACGCCCACACCGATGCAGCAATCTCACCTAACGGCCTGCGAGGTGGAAACAACTGCCACACCCAACGAATCGTCCAGCCAATCTCTGCTTCAGTTCTCCGGCGATGTGCCAGCCCGCTCGCGTGCAGGCCTGCTCTTGCCAAATTTGTCGGGACAGGCGCCCCCGGTGGCCATGACCCAATCCATGACGGCGGCGGAGGACGATGGCGGCGATACCACGCCCACGGCCGAAGGACAAGCCAACGCAGCCAGTCGCAGCAAGCAGGGCAGTCCGTTCTATGCGGAGCCAGCGGATGCACTGCGTCAGGCGGGCCTGACCAGCGCAGCCACGGCCATCTTGCGGCGCCAGCATCGCAATCAAATGTTGCACGCCAGCCAAAGACACTCGGAACCACTAAAAGCGGGCTTCGCAGGCTCTGGCAATGGTGCAATGCTGCTGCCCAGCGATCTGGAGAAGCTAGCCGGCAGTCTGGACGAACTGAAACCCAAGCCGAAGGTTTCCCAGCAGCAACAGCAGTCCCAACAGCAACAACAGCCCACCAAGCGGGCACGTAATCGCATCGATCACTGGCAATTGGACAGCAGTTGGGAGTTTATGGCCAAGCAGGATACGGGCAGTCATGCTGGCGGGGATTACGATACGGCAGTCATCGACTGGCAGGAGAAGGAGAATTCGCTGGGCCGGGATAGCCGTGCAGATGGCCAGGGGAAGAAGCGCACGCTGACCATCCATCAGATCATCGCCAATCGATTGCCCGACCTCAATCTGCCAGAGCTGGTACGTTGCTCCACGCCGCCGCAAACGGCCGCACTGCAGCCGCATGTCCTGGGACAGGATAAGGTCGGACTCGGCTGCGATGGCAGCCAAAAGTCATTCCAGAGCCAGATCGGCTGCCGGCTCTCCTCCTACGACAACGTCTTCTGCCAGAACTCGTTCGGAGGCATCGATTCGGCGCAGTCCGACGACGGCACCATCTTCTCGGAGCCCTGGGACTCGTCCCAATGGGACACCTTCCTGCCCCACGATGGTGAGCACAATGCACGCCCATTATTTTACCAATTGTGGCATATATTTGTTCCACTCTTAGACGCCACCATCAACTCGGACACCATACATCTGTCCAAGTGCCGGCCCGCTCTCTCAGAGGACGACACTATCATCGAGGAACTACAAAGCACCAAAGACGGCAGCAATGGCAGCTGCAACCAGGACACACTCAAGGCGAACAGGAGTGGTGCTGGACACCACAAGCCCAGCAAGGCCAACAGTCGACCCAAAGTGGCCACAATTCTGCGGAATCCCAGCATGCGGGATCGTGAAGTCTTATGTGAGTAGTCTACGCATTCTTTTGGGCTGTAATCAAACGGGAAAATCATAAGTATATGAGCAGGTACAAGTGAGATCTGGTTATCAGTGCGAAAATCGCTGTACTTTAAGCATGAATTCAACTGATAGAGCATCGAAATCGTGTCAATTGGTCGCCACCACCTGCCAGCACTTCGCCTTCAGAAGTCGTCTCGTGTGCTTGGGAAGTGGAGTAATGATTATGATGATGATGGTGATGGGGATCACGCTCAATTGCAATCTGTTATTATTATTGTTGTTGCATCATGCGCGTTCATGTGCCCCATGGTCATATGGTTATCAGCGGCACATCGTCATCGATTGACGGAACGATTGAGTGCACGGAACCAAAGCCAATGTATCAATCAGCATCGAACTCGCATGACTTTGTTATTACTGAAAACGCATTTAATTTGTTTTGCCTAAAAAAAGGGTATACAAATAGATGGCTTTGAAACCTTATAGAGACAAATATGATGAGTCAACGCATGATTTGTAGAAAGAACTACAGCGTCCTTTGTTTGAAGAAATCATCAAAAATATTAGTATTATATTAAGTCCAATGGGACAATATTTGCATTTTTATCAGGGCATGTTTAAGCTTTTGAGGTTGACTTAAACTGCTGATAAAACCATATGTTATAATCGCCTCTAACTGTGCAGATCTGTGCTTCGAATGACTTAGGTCTGTCGTATGTCGGTTCAAACTGGATTGCAGCGACATCGGCAGAAAGCCGCGTATGGCCAGCCTATCTGGGGAAAAATAAGAGGAACACTGCGCCGCTGCCGCTGCCTCCGCCTGATGACTACAAAGCCTTGCCGAAACTTATCTGCTGCACAACAGCCTTCCAGTCGAACCCAATTCCGATCGCAGCTAATCCCGCCCCTTCCTTATCCGCCGCCCAGTGATTTCTGCGTCGCAGTTGACAACTAAATGCAATTTAAGATATGTGTGCTCGCAAGGCAGCCGAGAACGAAAGTGATTTGCAAAGGCTTGTTAGATATGAGCCATCAAAAACGTCTACTTCAAGTTATAATACATCCAGTTCTGCATCCAAAGGTGCGATCAAAGTCATCAGTGTATGATTGCAGGGTATAGCACTGACCATCATGCCTTCCGACTTGATTGCGGGCGGTTGGGTGGGCGGCTGCTGGTGTTCCAGAGCAAGACTTTGGAATGTAAACCGACGTAGCGACGCCGGCAGCGTTTTTATCAGCGAACGCAAATTTCACCGCGCGGAGTTACAGACTCTGAATGGGATGCGTAATTAATAGATGATGAGCAAACATGATGAACGCAAAGCACAAGCCACTACGATGGATGGATGGATGGATGTTTGCAGACTGGAATCGGATTCTATATCACGACCTAGACAGTCTATTTTTGGGTCACCCTAGGCAAAGACAAACATCACACCAACGACCACTCAGTCAGCCAGACAACAAAGACCATTTGAAGCTGATGAAAGGCAAACAGACGCGTTGCTATTTTAAAAACGCACAACGCATTCGATGCGATATGGTTTTGAGTTTTTTGTGTTTTGAATTGCAATTCGAATTTGGTCCAGCCCAATTCACACGTGCTCATTTTATGGCCGCCTAGCCAACTGATTTGTTTGCCCGCGGCCATTGTAAAAGTTAATGGGCTGGGTGTATTCTAGACCTGATGGATTGATAAGCTGCTAGCCAAATCTCTAGGTAGAAATCTCTATCCCAAACCCAAAGCGCTTGGAAACGGGAGATTAGCGTGAAAACCAAACAGGTAGTTGGGTTCAGTGCACCCCTTTCGGCCAAGGTTGAGTTGCCGATCTGCACTTTGGACGAGGAAGATCGAATGGCGAAAAACCCTCAACCTCAACCCCAACCCCAACCTAAAAAACCTCCATTTACCGCCCGGAGGTTTTTCCGAATTGCGCATCAGACCCAAGACACAGGCTAATGCTGATGCAATCCAGGCAATCCATTGCATTAGAACCCGGACGAAGTCGCGGTTCCAGTTTCGAGCTAGCCAGCTTGTCTATTGATAAGACCGTTGGGAGATAGAGGACTAGAGTGAAGAGCACATCAAACAATTCCGTCAAGGACATGTTCAGGTTTCAGCTGGTAAACTAAAAGGTCAACTTTATATTATCAATATAACGCTTATAGTTAAACAAAGCCCTAAGCAATCAGAAATGAACTCAAAGTGAACGCCAAATGAACCAAAAATGAACGCAATATGTGTGCAGTGGATATAGCTTATTCCACTCAAAGTGAATGCATCATATTTCATTAAACTATCTTTGCAATGATTGAAAATTTACTGCCTATCGAAACCACAGGGTTTACACGCCTGATTATTTACATGAGTAATGTGAAGGGGGTTCTAAAATGGTTTTCACTCTTTTTTCATGACACTCAAATGCGAACATCTGGGTTTTGTTTTGCAATGGGGTTTCCGACTTGTTCAGCGTTACACAAAGAGCCCACAATGAATCAGCTCGCGATGGCGATAGCTTGCCAGCGATTCCTACAGGTAGTGGCTGGGATGGGCCAATGTCCAAAAAATCAAACTGGGATTGGACTACCTGAAGTGGGTGTGCAAAGGCAATCCCGGCCAGCGATTGAGTCATTGGCTTGCGCAACTGTACCTGGCAGGCGGCGGAGAGCCGGATATTCCCGGGATTCCTGTGGGTGACACCAGCCATAAAGGATGCGCGATACCTGCGATCCAAGCTGGCCTGCTTTTGGGTGGAAAAGGTCATGCAAATGAGGCCGCCACTTGGCGAGTTGACACATTTAGCGGCGCCGGCGACGCTATCTTTGTTTTCGCGGGCTGCGACGTCGACAGCGGAGATGCAGTCGCCGTCGCCGTCGCCGTCTTATAAACTAATGCGTATGAAGTTCAGAATTAGTTTTGCATTGGCCGCGTTTAGAGCAGCAGCCTGCGAGAGCGAGCATCGAATAGAAACATATTTCAGCGAACATAGCGAAAATTCCTGAGACGAAGCTCCAACGATCGTCGGAGGAGAGTGAGAGTTGGACGCGACCGCCATCGCTTATCAATTAGCCGCAGCGTGTGCCGATGAGAAACCTGCGTTTCCGCCAATTCGTTTTAGCTGGCAAAAATCGCTACCGGATATACCATGAGTTGGTTCAGAAGATCGTCGCGTGCACCGTCCGTGAGCCGCCCGCATTCGCCCGCATCACTCGACCAGCCGCATCCGCAGCTGGACGATCGGGCAAATCAGCGCGACATGTCCAAGTCACTCAGCTGGCTGGATGAGCGCTGCATTGAGCGACAGGAGCCGGAGGAGTTCTTTCACGATCCCGACCATGTGCGGCACTACAAGGAGGAGGCACAGTTCCTGAGCATCATGTCCGAATGGGAGATCATCGAGCATCCGCCGCAGGCCAATTACTTTTCCGCGGACTTCGAAGAGGAGCTACTGCAGCAGCGAACGCAGCTGCCAATCAGCTCACTGGAGGAGATCAACACCAGCGACAAGGATACGCTTAAGGATAAGGAGCCAAAGGCTGAAGTCAAAACGAAACCCAAACCCAAACGCAAACGCAAATTCCTAGAGCTGCTGTTCGTGGACAACATACAGACTGGAATTGCCCTGCCCCAGGACGAGAATGAAAGCCCACAGCGGGCGCCATCCTCGCCAACAGCGGTGCTGTGCAAAAAGTCGAGGAAGTCCAGCAGTGCCAACAGTATTGCCGTCCCATCGCCCATTGTGGCTACATGTCCGCAACAGGTGCTCAAAGACTGCCGCATCAATCGGAAACAACTGAAGACTGAGGCCCTGGCCAGCTCCATTATGGGTGCCATTGGGAAGTGTCCCGCCGGGGAGGATTCCATGCCGGGGGCAGCCAGCAACGAGCCGGATCAGTGCCATCCTGGTGAGCAGAATACCTGTGACCACTACGACATCAAACAGTTCTTTCACCTGGACGAACAGGGCAACATCCTGCTGAGCATGGCGCACATCGTCGAATGCCAAGCACTGGGCCTGTGCCTGCAAGCCCAGAGTCGTCGTCTCTATCGACGCTATCGACGTGGCTGTGAGTGTGCCGACGAGGACTACTGTCAGAGTCGTGGTTGCTGTCGCATCCTGCGTCGTTTGCTCCGACTACTGTGTGAACTAATAGCTGGTAAGGGGGGCTTCTCCAATCCAAGATCTTTGATACCGGGTGCTCTCGCAGATAAGCGTCTCTATGTGAACCCATGCTATCTAGATAGTTTCTTAAAATATTTACCTGTACTGTAATCCAAAGCAATTTGTTTTCGGTTAACTAACGAGACTTTTATCTGTTTCATTCGTGCAGGTCACCCCCGCAACAAGATGAGCATCCAGAGCAGCGGACCCGGCGATTCCTTGCGGGCATACACCCTTCAATTGGCCCAGGATCCCAGCTCCACGTTCGCCCGCAACATTGAGAACTTCATCTGCTGCACCAAGGAGTCCCGAGAGGCGGCGCCCCAGGTGGTGATGCGAAATATGCGCCAGTTCATGAGCGGCATGAAGAACTACCTGGTGAAGCACGGCGAGGGCAAGTTCCATGCGGAACTGGAGACGGCGAGGGCGCGACTCAAGTCGGATGAGTTCCTCAACCTGGACGCCATGCTGGAGACGGTAATGCACCAGTTGGTTGTGCTGCCGCTGCGGGAGCACCTCTATGGCATTTTCGTGGATCACTATCAGCGCAGCGAGGACATCCAACTGCTGGCGCAGAACGTGCGCTACGCCTGCGAACGGGAGGCTGCCGACTTTGGCATCAGGCCCACGGTGACGCCGCCATCACAGGCCGCCCTGAGGCTGATCGCCAACCTGCTGTGGCGCCTCCAGGAGGCCGAGTTGCCGCTCGACAAGCTGGAGCTCTTCCTGTGCGTCATCTCGACGGTATTCGATGCCACCGGCTGTCCGCGTGGCCAGCAGCTGGGCGCCGACGACTTCCTGCCCGTGCTCGTCTATGTGGTGGCCAAGTGCGGATTCGTGGGTGCCGAAATCGAGGCCGAATTCATGTGGGGCCTCCTCCAGCCGACACTGCTCAACGGCGAGCCGGGCTACTACCTGACTGCCCTCTGCAGCGCCGTCCAGGTGCTCAAGACCTTCATGGCCTCCGAGGGGGAGAGCGGCAGCGGCTCCCTGGACGTAAGTAGCAGTCGCAAAGAAACGCATGAGCTGCGTTTGTGCACCGACTAACCTTTGCTAAAATCTTGCTTCTAGTGGCGCTCCAGCTGCCTGCCCGCCTGCTCCAGCGTGCTGCGCGTGATCATACCCGACGAGTGCAACGGATCCCTGCAGACGAGGACACTTCCGGTGCGGCCACATACCACCACCCGCGAGGTGTGCCGCATCATTGCGCACAAGGCGCGCATCACGAATCCGCAGGACTATGCGCTCTTCAAGCTGGTCGATGGCGAGGAGACGCTGCTGACGGACGCCGAGTGTCCGCAGGATGCCCGACTGGCGGCCAAGGGCAAGCATTGCATGCTGGCCTACAAGCGGATCGATGCCAAGATCGCCTGGCCGACTGCCCAGCTGGCAGGACACTGATTCAGCTGCCCGGGGATGAGCCCGATTCACACATACGACAGACCGCACCAACCGCCCTGCCCTCCCTGCCCGCCCTGCCCTTCTTGCTCACTAACCAAGCATATTTGATTAATAATTTATTATTATTACATTAAAATATACTTAGTAGCCTGTAAGTAAAGCTAATTAATGCTAATTAGAAAACATCTAATGTGTACTAAACATCAGTATTGAGTTAAGTGTGTTTTTTTTCCCGACCCACGGGTCAAGCCCCATTTTTTTTTACTAATAAATGTACTATGCGAATACATATACACACATATACGATATATAAACTTTTAGCAAGTAGAGTTGCATTTCTGCACAAACGATGCGATGGAGTCATCTAAACGAATCTACACTCTAAACATATATATGCAAACGCGAGCACGCCATTTGGGCGTATAAACCATTTGGCGTGGATCGTGTGTGCCACCCTGGAGACCAAAAGCACAGTTCAACAATCACAGCAACAATCAATCATTCATTCAATCAAACATTTAAACGATTATGCGTTCAGTGCATAACATCATCATTAAACTACAAAAGGCATTTAGGTGTGAATGGGTTTCGTGGTTTTTTTTAAGAATCAAAACCATATTATATTAAAGTATAAACCATTACATTTTAATATTTATGTTCAACTAAACCATGCTATCGACCCTCGAGACATACATACATAAATACATACATATTTTTTTGTATACTTTGTAAAATATGTGACACGTAATCCAAATAGCAAGCAAATAAATAACCAAAATAAAATTATGGTCTTTTAATGCACTATTTCATTAGTGTCAGTTGAGGTGAGAGTGAATATTGCCACGGTCTTTCCAACAGTTCCTTAAAATATACCTCTTCACTGCCATTGCAAAATGCAACATACTTTGGGGCTACGATTCAAAATAAAGCTTCTTATAAGTTTTTGCAAAAACACAGATGTTCGGAAACCAAGTACAGCCACAGGCAGACTGATCCCAATGATTCCCGGCTTGTTTTTGTTTTATTTTTATTGTTTTTTCTTCGAAATTAGAGAGGTGGGGGCTATCGCCCGGGTTCATGCTGGATCGACTAACCAAAGTAAGAGTCGAGAGCCATCTGGGGACTTAATTGGCCCCACAGGCTATTCGAATCTCGGATCGAAACAGACGACGCGACAGATAACGATAATGTCCGGTGATAGATTTGCAAAGGCGATTGTCGTCTGGGTTCTCGAAATAGTATTGCCAATATATGCCGATTTATTGTCGCCAAGAATTGCTGCTCTCTTCTTGGATTCTCCCAGCGAAAACAGCTGAATTAGAAAATGGCGCAAGTTAATCTGGAATCTGGTGTATAGTAGAACTATCAACGCTCCTCTGCTCGCTTTGTTTTGATGGAAATTCAAATTCGGTGCGATAAGGACCACACACTCGCACGGATGACGATCGACGGACGGACAATTCGACGGACGGACGGACGGACGAACGGACACGGACTGAACTTTTAATTTCGCAACGTGTGCAAAAACGCACCGAGAGCACTAACAAGTCTGCACAGAGAAAAAAGACAAAATGACATCATTTGTTATACCTCATGCGATATATGATCGCTGGTTCAAACCAGCTATGTCGCCATTCGAAAACATCGCATTTTAGGCACAGGTCGATAACCATTAGTTGGGACCATTTTTGACCAAGTTATGCAGAAAAGACGCACCGTAAATATTGAGTTTTTGAATAAATTGGATTCTATGATTTTTTGAATAAATAAATTCAGTTATTTTATCACTACATTCGAAATAATGGTCCAAATATGGAATGTCATACATCGTTGAGCTTGTTATTTAAATTCCAATCGATCTGTGTTCAAAGTTCGGAAATTTAATTTTTTGCCATTTTTTGCAAATTTTGATGATGTTACCCCTTACAAAAAAGTCGAAAATTCGGCCAAAAGTTAATTTTTCAAAGTCCGTCAAAAAGTGATAGCGATGGTTAGTATAGGTAATTAGGAGTAAAAAACTGTAATTCTTTTAGTCGTGGGACCATTTTTGACCAAGTTATGCAGAAAAGATGCACCGTAAATATTGAGTTTTTGAATAAATTGGAATTTATGATTTTTTGAATAAATAAATTCAGTTATTTTATCACTACATTCGAAATAATTGTCCAAATATGGAATGTCATACATCGCTGAGCTTGTTATTTAAATTCCAATCGATCTGTGTTCAAAGTTCGGAAAATTAATTTTTTGCCATTTTTTGCAAATTTTGATGATGTTACCCCTTACAAAAGAGACGAAAATTCGGCCAAAAATTAATTTTTCAAAGTCCGTCAAAAAGTGATAGGGACGCAAATATTTAATCAAAAAATAATGTAGTTGAAATCAATAAAAAAAGTGATAGGCATCGTTAGCAATGGTAACAAGCTGGTAAAAGTCGTTCATCCCTTCACTTTCTGACTGCTGTTTACCCAGTTATCTTCATAACTTCCGTAATGGTATTTTGTATTATTGTAGAGTTATATCCCGATTCCCAGTTATTAATTACTTTTTTTTACCCAATAATTACTTCCGTAATGGCATTTTGTATTATAGTATAGTTATATCCCGATTCCCAGGTATTTTTAGCCATGTAAGATTGTCTGCGCCGAATTCTTAGTGCGCCAAAAGGCTATTTTCTTTTCCTTTGTTTTATTATCGTGCAACAATTGTAAATTAATACAGTTTGGAGTTTGAGCAAGCCATAAATATTTGGTTTAATTATAAATAGATAGCTGCTGGCCAACGATCGCCATCGCTGCCCTGTCGCGATTGCAGCGGCTCTTGATTTTTGATATTTGGAGTGTTCCTTATCAGCGCGACACAACAACAAGAAGCTCCAAAGACGCGATAATAAACAATTATGGCCAGGCCAAACGGTCCCAGAGCCCCATCCCCCCTGGCGAAAAAAAAAGATTAAGAAGCCAAACATTGGTGCACCGGGAAAAAATCTGGATATCTTTTACCCGAATTCCGTAAGCTGCACCCAATATCTGCGCTTTGCTAACCACGCGAATTCTTCAGCATTCTCTGAAATTGCATTCTTCTTTGTTGTTTTGTTGCTTGGATCAAGTTTGCCGCGTAATTTCGAAATCAAAACATTTTCCCACAATATATTGTTGATATTGTTCTTTTCGAGCCGTGCAAAAACAATCGACTGCGGGGGGCGCAGAAGGGGCGATGCGATGTTTTGATTAGACGCTTCTAAGTACAGAAAGTCAGGCGGCGGGCAATAAATACAAAAGATTGACGAGAGTAAATATATTGATTGCACGGATGAAGTGGGCTGTTCGATAACTTTCGCAAAGTCCTATAACCAACTGGTGATTGCTCGTTGGCCATTCGGTGGCCAAGTGGTGAAGTGGCGCTGTGCCATAAAACTTGCTCAAGTCCAGGCGCTCGTCTGATCAATCGATTCGATCTTTAAGCGCTGAAAATCCAGTGGCAGTTGAGAAGTTGTTGGACCTTGTGACCAAGCTATGATTAATGGATCCAGTATGTTACTTCATCTTTCTTAGAGTCAGCCAACAAATGTATTTTACTTTTCCCAAATGCTTACTGTCGTTTATTTTGAAAGTATTTGTTTCATTTAATTGGTTTCGGCTGTTAATAAAGTTACCTAGCCAGACGAATTTTTGAAGAATTTACCGCTTTCTAACATATTCCCAATCAAGTTAGGCATCATATTATTGTAATAATAATATAATCACCTTATAAAGTTTATTCAACCATAACATCCGGGTTCCCCGTAAATTTCTTGCGCTCTCCGATAGGAAAACCTCTTAGCGAAGGACCCCACTTTAATATTTATATTGTTATTTTATTATTGCAGCACGAAGTGGTAGCCATAAACAAATTCAATAAAATAATTAATGTCAACTAATTGATAATGTCGAAAGTATTTATATGGCTGCCCAGAAGGCGGACAGGTTAGCCTGTTATTTCCTCACACCGATAAGCGCTTGTCCTACCCAAAACTCTCCGAAACTGTTCGGACCACCCACGCGAAATCCGTGTACCTTTGGCCCAGAGTAACAGTACCAGTGTTAGTTGTAGTACACACGCTATCACAACCACAACCAAGCCCGTGCTAATAATCGCATTACGCATACGCCTCGTGCGCGAAGGGTGAGCAGATGCAGTGTCTACATTTCTATTGTTTGGCAGTACAATCGCAAATCTTACAGAAATATTTAATGAATATGTTCCTATTATATTTATGTTCATTAAAATATTCACAAAGAAAACCTCAATTATTGCTTGTTTCCATTACGTTTACCAAAATATCACTCATCCGCCACGTTGCGTATATAAAATAATATTCAGTTTCCCAACTAGATTCACAGAATACCGAACTTCGCCCCACTGTGCGGCGAGAGCGAGAGAGCGAGCTGGCGCATTGGCAATCCAATGAGACCCAACCGAAGATCCAATCGCTTGACGCTAATATAGTACTCAATATAAAGTCGTATTGTCGGCTTGGCGATCCGAACTGAAAAGCTAGCCGTCGCTTAAGCGAAACCAATCGCAAACCACTTGGCATTCGGGCTGGGCGAGCTGAACAGTGCGAGCGTCAAGTGTCGCGACGGTTTTTTGTACAAAATAATTCATTTTATTCCGCTGACATCCCATACCACACCACACCATTCCATATCATACCATACCATACCATATCATACCATACTATTCACATCCACATCTGTTTTTTGTTTTCGTTGGCGTTGCGTTATTTTTTTTGTGTGTGCGCGAGAGCGCGTCGATTTGGATCATCTCGAGATCAGATCAGTGGTAAACAAAGGGATCGTGCGCCCAGTCAACCCAGTGAGCAGCAAGTCACCAGGACAAGATCAGCCATGGAGGTGTACACGTCGGACAGCTCGGACACGGATTCGCGGGAGCAGAAGACACTGGACTTCGGCCGGATGAGCCTGGACCTGGTCACCCTGGAGGATCACCTGGCCTCGCCGCAGAAGGCTCTGCTCAAGTCCAGTGGCGACATCGAGACCATGCTGCTCAACCACAATCGTTTGGTCGGCTTGCCCCGTCTACTGCTGCAGTTCAACAATCTAAAGATACTGGATCTCAGCTCGAATGCCATCACCACGCTGCCGGATGCCGTCTGCCAACTGCCGCTGGTCACCCTGATCGCCAAGAACAACCTGCTGACCAACGCATCGCTGCCCAAGTCGCTGCTGACCAAAATGGCCAATACCGCTGCTGGCTCCAACTCCACGCTCAAGGAGCTCAATCTGAGCGGCAATCAGCTCACCCACTTTCCGGAACAGGTCACCGAGCTGCGGCACCTCAAGTACCTCTATCTGGGCGGCAACAAGATCTCCGGCGTCTCGAAGGATATCTGGAAGATGCAAAGGTATGTGCTAGTCGAGCGTTTGTTTGCCTAAGTGTTTTGTTTGGCAATGATTTGTATCAGCTACACGGCTTACTCATGGGTACATTTATCTGCGTTTCTGAATGATTAAGACACAGAAAAACAAGGCTATAATAGGTAAAGTATCAGGGTCGAAATACAATACAATCAAGAACATTGCAACTTTCCTATGCCCTAAAATGTATATTTTCGAGTTATTTTGTTGCTTTCTAAAAATTACCAATTTGTATATCCTAATTGAATACACATTTTTGGGAACTTATATACTGTATTTAACTTGATTACTTTCGATTTGGTTCGCAAAAATTAACAAACGAACTCGTGAAGGTCAAAAATGAAACTTCAGAC